TTCTTAGTATGAAATCGGTCTTGCAAGAAGATTTTTAACTTGACAATCCCTTCAGAATCATTTCCACTAATCACAATATCTACATAGACCACAAATAGAACATATTCAAAATCCGTCTGTCTATGAAGCACATAATGGTCTGTCTGACATTGAAGAAGACCAAACTCTAAAACTGCATCAGAAAACTTACCAAACTATGTTCTCGGTGACTGCTTTAAACCATACAAAGATTTTTTTAATCAGCATACACTCTTACCATACTCCCTCTGAGTAATAAACTCAGGTGGTTGCTCCATGTAAACCTCTTCAACCAAGTCACCATGTAGGAAGACATTCTTGACATCTAACTGAAACAAGGGTCAATCAAGATTAGCAGCCAAAGAAATCAAGATACGAACAGAGGAGATTTTGGCAACAGGAGAGAAAATCTCTTCATAATCAACACCATAGGTCTGAGTAAAGCCTTTTGCAACAAGCCGGACTTTGAGACGCTCCACAGAACTATCCGAGTGAAATTTAACAGTATATATCTAACGACAACCAACAGTTCGTTTACCAAGAGGTAAAGGAACGAGATCTCAAGTCCCATTATGATGTAAGGTATCCATCTCTTCCTCCATAATTTTCCTCCAACCTGGATTAGATAAGACATCTTGTAAATGCTTAGGAATAGATATAGTAGATAATTGAGAGGTAAAACAAGAAACGGCAGAGGACAAGGCATCATATGAAACAAAATGAGCAATGGGGTGGTTAGAAACACATGAATGAGTACCTTTTTGAAGAGAAATAGGTAAAGAACCAGGATCAAAAGAGTCTAAATTACCTAATGGACCAGGATCAGAAGGCGACAAGGAAGACAGTATGGGTACCTCAGTCGATGGGTGAGGACGACGAGTGTATACACGAAGAGGTAAAGTAGATGGTAACACAGTAGGTAGCGGAATATCTGAAGATGGTGGTACAAGAGATGACCCGAAGTCTAGATCCAAAGGCTGAATAGGTGCTAAAAAATATGGAACAAATTCCTCAAATATGATATCAGCACTAATAAAGTATCGTTGCAGAGAAGGACTATAACAACGATACCCTTTTCTGCGTGCCAGAATAACCAATAAATACACATTTGATAACTCAAGGGTCAAGTTTATCAAACCCAGGACTCAAATTGTGAACATAGCAAATACATCCAAAAATCTTAGGAGGTAGAAAAAATAAAGACTTACCAGGAAAGAGGACAGAATATGGACTTTGTCCATTTAACACAAAGGATGACATACGATTAATAAGGTGACAAGCAGTAAAAATGGCATCACGCCAAAAATATCAGAGAAAATTCATCTGAAATAACAGGACACGAGTGACTTCCAACAAATGACGGTTTTTGCGTTCAGCAACACCATTCTGTGGAGATGTGTAAGTACAGAAAGTCTGATGAATAATACCAATTTTACTAAGATAAACTGAAAAAGGATCAGATTCATATTTCCGAGTATTATCGGAACGTAAAATACGTATACGACAATCATACTGAGTTTTTATTTCCTTACGAAAGGTCTCAAATATAGAGAATAATTCAGACTGAGCTTTTATTAAAAACAACCAAGTCACACGAGAATAGTAATCCACAAATGTCACAAAATAATGATATTTATAAGATAAAATATTATTTATTGAACCCTATACATCAAAATGTATTAACTCAAATGGACTAAACACATGATTATTTACTCTAGACTGAAATAACACACAATGATGCTTACTAATTTGACAAGCTTGACAAGACAAAAACGACACACAATTAAGACTGAGAACTTGGCGCTTCAGATTCTAGAGAGATGGATGTTCAAAACGACAATGTCATTGAAAAGGAGACAACGAGGTCTGTAGGGCCCGAGTAGGTGAATCAAAATCAAAGTAATATAGACCACCAGCTTCATGCCCCGTACCAATTTTCCTCTTCGTCTTGAGATCCTAAAAGACACAATAAGATAGATAAAAGGTCACAGAACAATTGAGAGAACGAGTAATCTTATTAATGAAAAGTAAACTAAAAGAAAATTAAGGGACAAATAACACGAAAGATAGGGACATATCAGGACTCAAGGGAGTAGTCCCAGGACCTGAAATATTAAAACAAGCACCATTAACAAGAGTAACATTACGTGTGGAAGTAACAGGCTGATAAGTAAAAAAAATATCAGACGCATCAATCATGTGGTCAAAAACGCCAGAGTCTATGATCCAGGGACTGCAAGTGGAGGACAATAAATAAGTAGAAACAGTACTTAGACTGGGCAAAAGTAGCAGTGGGGGGAGATGGTACAGCCTGTTGCTGGGACAGAAATTGGGCATACTCCTCTCGACCCAGTGTAATAGTAACTGACCCAGTGTCTGGTGGAGCTGACTAAGGTATGGGAGCAACAACAGAGGTATTATCCTGATAGGAAGCCTGATTCGCAGCACCAGAAGGTCTTTCATGTAAATCCCAACAGAAATCAATAATGTGCCCTCCATGACCACATTGAATATAGTAACAAGGTCCACTACGGCCCCACGACCACCCGTATGATCTCCTGTACGACCTCCTCGACCACCACGACCACCTCGATGACCATCATTGTGGCTACTAAGAACCACAAGAGTTGAGCGATCAATGGAGACACCATGATCAATCCCTAAAGGAGTACACAATGTAGCACGCTTTAAACAAGAGAAAACCTCAAACAGTGATAGAAGACTAGAACCACCCAAAATCTGAGAACGAATAGCCTTATATTTAAGTTTCAATCCTACTAAAAACCTAACAACATTCAAGTCCTCATGTTGCTTCTGCCAAACTGTTGCATCAATAGTAAACGGATGGTAGGTCTTCATCTCCTCACAGACTCCCCGAACATGAGAGTAATAATCAACAAGGCTCAAAGTACCCTGCTCCAACCGGAAGTACTCCTTGCACACCTCATAAGCACAGGTAAAATTACCCGTACCAGAATACATAATGGCCAAGGGATCCCATATCTCTTCGGTAGTATCAAGATAAAGCAGAGAAGAGCTAATACTAGGCTTAATGTTATTCAACCATAAAGAGATAATCTGAGCGTCCTCTTGTTCCCACTGATCATACCCAGGAGTATCTTCCTTGGGTTTAAGATTAACCAAAAATTTTTTGAAACCTTTGCCTCGAAGAAAAACTTGAACAGAGCGGGACCATAAAGTATAATTAGTCCCATTGAGTTTAACGAAAGTCATGGGACCATTAAGAATAATTGGAGAAGTTGAGTTAGGAGGCAAAGATGGAACAATAGCATCTTGTTTAGGTTCCATAACAATATAGCAAATAGTAAACGGGAGCAACCTTACTGTTGGACAACTGACTGGAGCAAGCAAATAGTAAAACTGGAGCAACCCCACTGCTGGGCAACTGAACGGAGCAAGAGGAAGTCACTAGATCACTGAACCAGACAGGAGGACGTTGGTGGACAGTTGAACCGAACTGGGAGGCCATTTTAGGCCTCCGAACTGGACAGAACCCTTGAACTGGAGCAAAAATAGAAGAAACCGGTCTGAGCCAGTGCAAAACTGCCTGAACCGACTTAGAATGAATCAAACTGAGGTTGAACCGGCCTTGAACCGATCTAGTTAGGGTCTGGACCGGGTTTGAACAGGATCTAGTTTGGTCTGAACTCGGTTCGATTTGGACCTTGGGCTGGACCAGGTCTGAAATGGGCTAAGCCGACCCGATGGGCCTTGTCTTCTTCGTCTAATTAGGGTTTCAAAAGAAACCCTTGACCTTCGTCGCTAGTGTCCCAGCAGCCACACCACCACACCACCACACCACCGCAACCACCACAAAATCCACCACACGTCGAAGACCACGGCAACACCACCAACCACCACACACCACAACCACTTGGTGTACAGACAAACGACAATGAACAAGGGCCACACCACCGCCACACCACCGCCACAAAAGATCATGCCACCAATAGCCACACGAACAGGGACCATTACAACACCACCACCATGATGAATAGAGACCACACGATGAACAGTGTTAATATATTTAGAATCGTTCGTACTCTGATACCATGTTAAGTTTGGAGGACTAACATAATATTAGAGACAATATTTAGAGAGAAACAGAGAGAGGTTAAAAGCTTAACCTAGGTCTCATACGTCACTTGTATTTATAGTTAACTTATAATATAATAATTACACATACACCCTCTTACTATTACAATTTACACATACTACCCTAATATTCTTAACAGTATTGATTGATGAAATTAAAATAGGAATTAACAATAAACTACAAGTTTGAAGAGAAACATAAAAATCAAAAATAAAAAAGATTTAAGATAAATAGAAATAAAATTGAATTTATCATGCAGTTTTAGTAATAATAGAAATTGAAATAGAGAGGTAGTAAAGATCCAAGATCTAGAGGTACCTAAGAACGACCACTTTACAAACTTGACCTCTGCGACTACTACTTTGCATGGGAAACTGGCAGGAACGAACATCTTATAGGAAACCTAAGAAAGAGAGATCGATAGAATACGAAGGTAAGCACCTCTTGGCAGAAGACTCTCGAAAAGGAGCACAATAGGTGCCTAAGTACTAGAAGGAACAAGGAGAAACAAAATTTACTGGGTGATAACTAACAAGTAGGTAACAAGCAAGTTTGTGACCAGTACTAACCCAAGTAAGGAGGCTGCCACAACACAAAGTAACCTATCATGAAGGAGCTCATTGTATGATAATTCTAATGAGAAAAAAATTGTAAAACACGAAATGTCTACCACAGGCTCTAAAACCACTACATCCAACTCGGGACTCCCTAATCATATCACTACAGTAAATAAAAATGTTTAGAATCTTCAGAGGCATAGGAAGCCCACTTGGTTCTTGAACGCAACACTTGTAAAGCTTAAACTTGTGAATTCCATAATGACCCGGATGTAAAAAACTGCAAGATAATAATATAGGCTTTAAGATTACTTACCAAGCCCAAGAGATGAAGCAAAAACTGGTCTTGTGGGAAGCTCAGAGTAAACAAAATACAGTAGCAAGGCAGATAGTCCGCCTGCCATAAGTGACTTCTGGCTGCCACTCTTCACGTAGCCCATAACTCCACCCACTGCCATAAAAGCAATCAAAATCACTTAATTAATGATGAAAAGCCAAGAAGCTGCACAAACACATGAAGCAACAGAAAACTCCCATTCCTGATCAGATAATTGAGAATGGGATTAGAATCTGTTAGAGTCCTAAGTCTCTAGAATAGCTCAATAGCTATCACTTGTAATTTTAAATACTTGTACATTGATTATATATATAAAATCCTACTGCCACAAATTGGCAAGACTTTCAAACACATTAAACTTGTTATTTTTCTGGGCTTCACATGCAATTAGGATGTTCAATCCTTGCCAATGGTTTACCACAACTTGGCACCATTTTGCAAGTGTAACCTTGATTTCAAAGCAAGTAAACGAGTGAGATTCGTCTACTGTCTATAATTTTTGCTAATTGGCAGTCTCAAGTTGTGGGGAATAAATCCTGCCCTCCACTGGTTGAAAAAATATTATATAGACAAATCAGCCAATAGATCCCACTCAAACTTATAACTACCCGGCCATGTCATACATAATCATAGGAAGTGGGCCCTATTTTACACTTTTTATTCTTTTCTTATTGGATGGTTACGCCATGTCAGCACTATGCACCCAATATTTACTCCCACTGGTTGCAATGAGTTCTTTTCTCAGGAAATACCCCTTTCCTTCACGTCCTATGTTCTGAAGTAGCATCGAATACTTTTTCTCAGCTTCAAACACGCAAACATCCAAGCTGATACAACCAACAACCTCACAGTTAAAGAATCCAATCAAATTGATCACGGGAGGGCACTAATGACCTAGAAATTGGACGCCAAAGAAAGCTAAAAATATAAAGTCAAGCAGAAAATGATCATCATCGCTTATCACGTCCAACAGTGTAAGGAGACTTACCACCGACCAGGGCAGCGTAGCCCAGTGTTAACTTCTGGGACATTGACATGGCCATCTTCTTCTTGCTGGTGTCCTCACTTTCGTCAGATCCTCCTTCGCCCTCGTTATTATTATTGCCCCAGTTGTTGCCTCGTCCTCTGCCGCCGCCGCCACTTACACCTCCAAACTCGTCTCCACCGCCACTAGAATCTGGTTGGATCTCGTTCCCGTCACTTGCCGACTCGACGGTAAGTGTGGGCGGCACTTCAGAGTCAGCAGATCTAATTCCCCAGGAAAAGCGCTTCTGCTGCAGTGCTTGGGCCGAAATCGTCGGAAAAAACACCGCAGGCTCCGACCTGGTCCTCAAGAAACGTACAGATGAAGCCGTGGAAGATGCCCGATGAAATCCAACAGAGTAATGCCGCCCTCGACTAGGAGCTTGTGGTAGCAGAATAGAAGATTGCGAAATTGCAAACAATTCTCCCATCTATTGCTCTTTTGATTTGCCTTTGCCTTTGCCTTTGCCTTTGCTCCCCTCGACAATGTCATATTGAACAAATTTTCGATTAATTACTTTTAGGTGGGCTATTCTAACCCGTCAAATATTAATTTTTATTTTATTTAAGTTTTTATTATCAAACCCACGACACTTTCTATATCCACCACATTATAAATTAAATTTATTTTATATTTTATACACTCTTTTAATAAATAAGTTTACTCATTCTTTTAATGACTAAGTCCACCCGATTATATACCTATCAATTCTTGACTAAACTCGCCCATTAATGACTAAATTTACCTCATCAACATGTTAATTAAAACCCTCGAATTCTTCCAAGCATGTCATATGCTTTGCCTTGAAAGTTGTAAAATCAAGTAAAAGTTATCAAGCAAGTTGTAATTTTTGGTAGAGTCCAACATCGATATACAGAGAGATGGAAAACTCGGAGTGTGAAAATGATAAATAAAATAAAATATATTGTGTGTTTGAAAGAGAGTGATTTGATAATTGCACTTTAAAACAAATAAACTACAATTGCTTAGGAAAATGATTCGGTAAAAATATTAAGACATTAAAGTGGTGTTTGGATCATCATGGGAGGATTGGGTTGGATTGAATTTGAATCCGAACTCAATCCAACGTAATGCAAAGTAGTCTGAATTGGAGGATTATAATGTATTATATCAAATCTCATCCCATCTTTAGATATAAACCATTTGTTTTGTAGGCCTCATTCACGTGTGAAGATAAAAGATACTAAAATGACTATTGCACCATTGTATAAATAAATGTAATTCATTCTTATACCAAGTTTGGAATGGAATGAAAAAAATCTTATCCAATAATATTGTCTTATTTAGGANTGGTTACGCCATGTCAGCACTATGCACCCAATATTTACTCCCACTGGTTGCAATGAGTTCTTTTCTCAGGAAATACCCCTTTCCTTCACGTCCTATGTTCTGAAGTAGCATCGAATACTTTTTCTCAGCTTCAAACACGCAAACATCCAAGCTGATACAACCAACAACCTCACAGTTAAAGAATCCAATCAAATTGATCACGGGAGGGCACTAATGACCTAGAAATTGGACGCCAAAGAAAGCTAAAAATATAAAGTCAAGCAGAAAATGATCATCATCGCTTATCACGTCCAACAGTGTAAGGAGACTTACCACCGACCAGGGCAGCGTAGCCCAGTGTTAACTTCTGGGACATTGACATGGCCATCTTCTTCTTGCTGGTGTCCTCACTTTCGTCAGATCCTCCTTCGCCCTCGTTATTATTATTGCCCCAGTTGTTGCCTCGTCCTCTGCCGCCGCCGCCACTTACACCTCCAAACTCGTCTCCACCGCCACTAGAATCTGGTTGGATCTCGTTCCCGTCACTTGCCGACTCGACGGTAAGTGTGGGCGGCACTTCAGAGTCAGCAGATCTAATTCCCCAGGAAAAGCGCTTCTGCTGCAGTGCTTGGGCCGAAATCGTCGGAAAAAACACCGCAGGCTCCGACCTGGTCCTCAAGAAACGTACAGATGAAGCCGTGGAAGATGCCCGATGAAATCCAACAGAGTAATGCCGCCCTCGACTAGGAGCTTGTGGTAGCAGAATAGAAGATTGCGAAATTGCAAACAATTCTCCCATCTATTGCTCTTTTGATTTGCCTTTGCCTTTGCCTTTGCCTTTGCTCCCCTCGACAATGTCATATTGAACAAATTTTCGATTAATTACTTTTAGGTGGGCTATTCTAACCCGTCAAATATTAATTTTTATTTTATTTAAGTTTTTATTATCAAACCCACGACACTTTCTATATCCACCACATTATAAATTAAATTTATTTTATATTTTATACACTCTTTTAATAAATAAGTTTACTCATTCTTTTAATGACTAAGTCCACCCGATTATATACCTATCAATTCTTGACTAAACTCGCCCATTAATGACTAAATTTACCTCATCAACATGTTAATTAAAACCCTCGAATTCTTCCAAGCATGTCATATGCTTTGCCTTGAAAGTTGTAAAATCAAGTAAAAGTTATCAAGCAAGTTGTAATTTTTGGTAGAGTCCAACATCGATATACAGAGAGATGGAAAACTCGGAGTGTGAAAATGATAAATAAAATAAAATATATTGTGTGTTTGAAAGAGAGTGATTTGATAATTGCACTTTAAAACAAATAAACTACAATTGCTTAGGAAAATGATTCGGTAAAAATATTAAGACATTAAAGTGGTGTTTGGATCATCATGGGAGGATTGGGTTGGATTGAATTTGAATCCGAACTCAATCCAACGTAATGCAAAGTAGTCTGAATTGGAGGATTATAATGTATTATATCAAATCTCATCCCATCTTTAGATATAAACCATTTGTTTTGTAGGCCTCATTCACGTGTGAAGATAAAAGATACTAAAATGACTATTGCACCATTGTATAAATAAATGTAATTCATTCTTATACCAAGTTTGGAATGGAATGAAAAAAATCTTATCCAATAATATTGTCTTATTTAGGAAAAAAAATATGATTCAATAAATTATGCATTTTTACAACATATTGCAAAAAATATGTTTATAATTTATTTAATTTAATTTGTACAATATACAATTAATCACAAAAATCATACGCATCATGCAAAAATAAAAAATAATGTACAACACAAGCGCATAATTGTAATCCGAATATTATGCTTGTACATTAAAAAAAAAAGACAATAGTAGACAAAAGGTCCTTGTTTTATAGTCGTTCATACACATCGTACAAATTGCCTATTTGGAAACCCTCCACAACAAAATAACACATACACTTTGCCTTTTTTGAGACCATCCACCACAAAATAAGACAATATGGTTAATGTGATAGAAATACATATACATGCCTTCACAACATGATCAAATAACATACAATCAATACAAAGCAACTTTTAAATATCCCGTAGTTTCACAAGTGTAGTTACATAGATACTATAATAACTTGTAGATCGTAGCAATAAGTTCCGTATCAATGTAGGGGGTATCGGAAGAAGTCAATCATCAATGATTATAACATCGACGGTTGTGATGGAATTCACTGATGGAGACGATCCTACACTATTAGAAGGTTGTGCTTTTGATGGTGGAACATCATTTTTGAAATTGGCTTCAAAATATTGATAGTTAGGACATGAGTCTAGACAGTAATCCACAATAAATTGTGCTTCCTGCATGATGTAAACAACAAAAAGTTATTAATTAAAAGGAACCAAAAAAAAAGTATGTACTTTTCATTGAAATTAATGAAGCACACTTACTTCCAAAAGTTTATTCTATCCCTCCACCTCTCCTTTTATGACACATTTATTGCGATTGTTCTAGAAAAATTTGCCAGTCTCCAACATCTCAGAAATTGTGAAATATTATCGCTCCTAAAAAAAGATCATGCATAAAATCTCACTCAATGAGAGGCTAAAGCCTGACAAATGCCTATGTAGGACATCTAACAAGCGATCCATCGTTTTCTTGTCATATCTACCGTAAAAAGGTAAAAAGTTCTGATGTTTGTACTCAATTAAAGTATCAATTATGAATCAACACTAATATTTGGTATCTTCTTCCCTAAGTAACATAATTGCAAATTCACATTAGATGCATCAATCACAAACATATATATAGTAAAATAAAACAAACAAATGATTTCATTATACATAGATGGATAATCAACAATTCCACATTACAAAGCCCTTACAAACCAACATACCTTTCTGTGTTTACAATTCCAATAAGTAATTAGAAATGGAACAAGGCACAGATAACTTATGCATGACCTCACAAAAAATCCAACACTCATCAAACTCTACCCAACAAGAAGTACACAACATGGGTGAGTATTAATCCCAAAAGTAACATCATGACACTTATCATGCATCACATAATATTTCTCTGATATGCACATATTTGCACAATGATAGGTGGTGGTACCACATTTTCCATTGCAACTTGTTCATTAATATTGTCTAACGTTACATTCTTCTCCACTGCAATATCATCACCATCTGCACCAACTGTTTCTGTTTCCATCCTTCCAAGGTGAATGTGTAATGCAATATCAGCCTTATTGTAGGAATCATAGGACTTGTAAAGCACACTAGGAAACCTATGCACATGTACATGACACTCTGGCCATGAATGATAATTTACAACCTGTCGGCCTACAAATACGACATACTATTGTTCCCGCTTGTGCATTGCTGCTGACACCATAACATTGCTTGTTAATGACCAAAAACCAAAAAATAGTCTATATGCATGGTATCATACAAATGACCACTTAAAACACAACCAAGCATACAAAGTGGTGAATTTGCATACATATCAACACAACCAAAATAGGGGTCTATTACATCTATGTGTCCATACAAACATAATATACAATAAACAACAAGTTCAACAAAAAAGGGAAGAGGTTGTTTTTAGTGGTCCGTCAATTGAAACACTGTCATCTCCATCAAGTAGGAGGTGTGTTCCACAGAAGTCCTCCAACCCAAGTAGGACGTTCATACTCAGGCAAGCTAAAGAAGATATCAGTATTTATAAGGTCTGAACAAATAATCTTAAGGGCAACATGTCGATCCACCATGGAAAAACTATTTATCTTCTCTAATTTGACATTCACTTTCCCATGTGCATCAGCAACATCATGAATATACCCAACACGATGTGCTATCATGTCTAGTTGATTTTGACAATTAAGCATGTATTCACAAAAAACTTTCAAGATGTCTGCCAAACTCTTTGACTCGGACACAATACCACTTACCTTTGTTTTTTTTTTCCCCCCTTACTTGTCGATGGAGTTCCAACATTGGGCTCAACACCAACAGTTTGTCCAATTGGATCTGTCATGCTATATGAGGTAGGGACATCCTCGTCGAAACGATCCGGTCCATCCATGTTATCGGTTTCATGCATAGAAGCTTCCACCTCAGTATCACCGACCATGTCTTCCAAATCAAGCCCGTAATTCACACCAGGAATTGCAGTTCACAAACTATGTTCCAATGATTGAAGGTACCCTAGTTTGAAAGTGTCAACCATTAACACAAAGATCCCTTAGGGACGCGATGAGCTGAGTTTTTTTTGCCTGCGTCCATGTCCTTCTTACACCCTTCTCTGTCTGGGTACTTCCACCTGGCTCAGACATATTATACCGCACAAACATAATGGTAAGCACAATAATTTGAGCAATGTTGTGCAGTTACAAACAAACTATCATCGTATAAACTATTAAGACATATAAATTAATCTAAGTTCAAATCAAGAAAAACTAGTCATACACAATAAAACCAATAACCCACAGTATATGCAGAATCACAAAATCAAACACTCTCAAATAGTAGGTTGTTCTCGAGACATTCTCTATTCATTGTACATTTTCAACGCTAAACGATTTTGAAACAATGACCATTTTAGCCGATGTCTCCACAATGTCTATGACATCATTGTTAGCATCACCCTCAACATGAATGACCTCAGGCAACTATTCCTCTATTGAGTCACACCCATTTCATTTCTGATCTAGTTATGCAACAAACCACATGCAGTTATAATGCGATTATGCGTGTGAATCGGATAGTAGCACGGTGCCCTAAGGATCGCCCCTCTATTTTTTAACAAGGCAAAACATCTCTCAATACATGTCCTTGCGGCTGAATACTAGAGGTTGAACAATTCTTTGGGATTACGGGGAGCTGTCGTACCCGCCTCAAACTCTTGTATATGATATCTTTGACCCTTGAATGGTGCTAAAAATCCCTCCTCATTAGTGTACCCAGCATCAACTAGGTAATAGGTCCATGTGTTGTATGAAATATGTTGATTAATCTAACACGATGTATATAAAATTATAATTTTATACTCAATGTTACATTGTATGACTCTACTTATCACGTGCGACCTTCAAACCGTTAGGTCTAGTCATGACAACATGTAATATTCTAGAATCAACAGTGGACCCATCCCATCCAGGAAGCATGTAAATTATTTTCATGTCTGGGTCACAAACACCCAACACATTTGTTGATATTCTTCCTTTACATGTTCCATACCTAGCTTGATTGACAAGAGGTTCATAGGTTGGAACATAAATGTCATCTAAGGCACTCACACAATTCTACAACACTGAAAAAAAAATAGTTAGGAATGTACCACATTAGAAATGAAATGAAAATGGGAAATTGGACAAGAGGTAAATATAGTGACATTATTTACCTTGAACCACCTCCATTTCGGGTCAGTATTGCTCTTCAAAATTGACTCAGGTGACTTTAGCAACACCCTTCTCAATCTTAACATCGCAGTCAAGATATTATTGAAATGTCGACTGACCATTTTATTCAACCGAAGAAAGTTGAACGTGACTGGCCTATTTTTTGTCATTGTGGCCTAAGATACTTAAGAACATAACAACCATCTCCTCTACATTAACATTCCTAGTTGGATTTAAGCCTCCTACATCACACACCAAATTGCATAATATCCCAAACGTGTGTCTATCCATCCTCAGTTGGTTTATACAATTTGTACCATTCTCACTAATTAGACGATGTAAGTGTTCACGTTGTAGGCGAATCCTATGCAATGGTCGTGACACCATATGCC